AAGCCGAGACAGGCTCCAAGTGGCCCCAGGAAGCCACATGAGGTCACATTAGGCATCAGGAAGCCACAAGAAGACTCAAGAGGCCACATGATGTCCCAAGAGGCTCCAGGAGGCACCAGGAAGCTCCAGGAGGCCTCAGCAGGCCCCAGAAGGCCCCGAGAGGCCCCAGGAGCAGGAGGCCTCAGAAGGCAACAATAGTGGCTCCAATCCCCTGTGTTTTACGTATGCTCCTATATATTGGGCCTTACCTGGAACACGAATCCTTGATGTTATACGTATGTTTCAATACATTGTCCTTCTCCTGTGTATACAATCCTGCATGTTTTACATCTGTTCATATAGATTGGGCCTCCCCTGGGGCACGAATCCTTGGTGTTTTACGTGTGTTCCTATATGTTGCCCTTCCCCTGCGGCTCCGATCCGCAATGCTTTACGTACGTCTGTTCCTACATATTGGGTCTCTCATGGGGCACCATTCCTCCCTAGGAGGTCCCAGGAAGCTCCTGGAGGCCCCAGGAGGCCACGCGAGGCTCCAGGAGGCCTCAGGAGGCAACTCGAAGCCCCACGAGGCCCCATGAGGCTGCTTGAGGCCCCAAGTAAGCCCCAGGAGGTTTCAGGAGGCTCCAGTCGGCTCCAAGCTCATGCGCAGAGACGCGCTCGTACTACTGAGACTCACTCACACTCCAATTCATTCGCACCTAGATTCATGACCAGACCGTCACAACTCAAGCCACTTATATTCGAAAACTCTTGCGCCTAGACGCTCACGGCGGGGACAGGGCCATGCGAATAGATGCACATATGGGGAGCTCCACGCAATGAATAATTCCTTCCTCTTTTTTTGTTTTCAGCGCCGCCATCGGGACTCTATGTTTAATTCGCCTACACATCGGATTCTGTTGTACCCCCCACAGGAGGAATCCTTGTGTAGATCCTCTGCAGGGAAAAGGCAATGCCGAAGAGGTACATCTGCGGCGACGATGGGGGGACGCATGGGAGGGAAGGAATTGAGGATGGCGGAGGAAAGCGGACGAGGAGACGCAGGAGTAGGAGGGCGACGACGACGAGGACGAGAACGACGACGAAGCATCGCGACACAACAACTAATGAGTTAGATCGTGGGGGGTCCAACCAAAATCTGCTCCGAAAGCGGAGGACGTCGCGGCAACAAACAAACAAGCCACTCGAGACATTCCCGCAATTTGGGCGCGAATGGAAGAGTGATCTACCCCTTTGGCGGCCCCCTTTGGGGGCGACACCCAGCCCCTCGCCCGAGACATCCTCAGAATCTGCTCCCAAAGCTGAGGATGGCCCACAACAGGCACCCCGCTCGAGACATCGCCACCAATTTGGCGCGAGCGGGGGAATGAGATACCCCTTGGCGGTTTCCCGCGCCTCGCTCGAGATATCCTCAGAATCTGCTCCGCAATTCCCATCACCATCATCATCATCATCATCATCATCATCATCATCATCATCATCATCAGCATCATCATCAGCAGCATCATCCTCGTGATCATCATCATCATCATCATCATCATCATCATCATGAGGAGGAGATGGAGGAGGTGTGCCCCGAATGGCGGAAATCATGAAGCGATCCCTGACAACCTTCTGAATCCTCCTGCCCTCGAGCGCTCTGGATTGAAAGGTCGGAATTTAGAACGTCATGGGTAATCACCATTTTTGAAACGGCCAAGCGCTGCGCTTAAAGTATCGGTAAAGGGTTTCGGTGTCACTCTGGATCGCTTCAGGATCTAACAACGAATGAACTTATTTCAATCATTTGGCCAACCCTGCAATATTCCCGATAACAAAAATATTCTCGTTATTCCCATATCCCAAACTGGGGTTCTTTGTATCATTCCGACCGCGCCGAGAGGAAACATCCACGGTGGCAGTTCGCTCAGCAGGCGGTTTGGGGTGTCGCAGCGTAGCCGTTTGGACTCTGAGGTCGGGTGGTGAGCACCAGGCTCGCGAGCTTGTCCTGTGATACCGGCGGCCGTTCGCGGCCACTTGTTGCACCGTTGACCCTCCCGTCCGGTTCGCTTGCCTTTCCTAAGTACGATGGCACTCGGTCCCGTCGAACAGTTTGGCCGCACCTTTGTGCCGACACCGCTTTGAATCGTTTGGTGTAGGTTGGCGTTGTCACTCGGAGGCTATGTTCAGTCCTCCTAGTTCCCACATGCCGTTGCAACAATCACTACAACACCAAGTTGGGCGATTCGTGTAACACGGTCGCAATGGATTCCACAATTGGAAACGGTTTCCATAACAGAACGTGGATTTTCGTAATTGCTGACCCAGGTTTCCACCAATGCGGCCAGGGGTTTTCATAATTGCCATTCTTGCCAGCTCGGTTCAGCTCCACCGATGGCCCCAGTGGCGCCGCCCGCATGCGTCACCCCCGGCCAGTACAGCGCTTAGTGGCCCCATAGGAGCTCCACCGAAGGCCCCAAGGGCGCCGCCCGCATGCGTCACCCCCAGCCAGTACAGCGCTTCGTGGCCCCATAGAGAGCTCCACCGAAGGCCCCAGAGGCAGGGTCCGCATGCGTCACCACCACTAAGTACAGCGATTCGTGGCCCCATAGGAGCTCCACCGAAGGCCCCAGTGGCACCGCCCGCATGCGTCACCCCCATCCAGTGCAGCTGTCCGCGGCCCCATGGGAGCTCCACCGAAGGCCCCAGCGCCACCGCCCGCATGCGTCACGCCCACCCAGTGCAGCGGTTCGTGGCCTCATAGGGAACTCCACCGAAGGCCCCAGTGGCACCGCCCGCATGCACCACCCCCACCTTGTACAGCGCTTCGTGGCCCCATAGGAGCCCCACCGAAGGCCCCAGTGGCGCTGCCCGCATGCGTCACCTCCAACCCAGCACAGCGCTTCGTGGCCCCATAAGGAGCTCCACCGAAGGCCCAGTGGTACAGCGCTTCGTGGCCCCATACCAGCCCCACCGAAGGCCCCAGTGGCGCCGCCCGCATGCGTCACCCCCAGTGCACAGGGCTTCGTGGCCCAATGGGGAGCTCCTCTGAAGGCTCCAGTGGCGCCGCCCGCATGCGTCACACCTACCAAACCAAGTGCAGCGATTCGTCGCCCCGTAGGGAGCTCCACCGAAGGCTCCAGCGGCGCCGCCCGCATGCGTCACCCCCCACATGGTACAGCGCTTCGAGGCCACAGAAGGGAGTTCCACCGAAGGCTCCAGTGGCACCGCCAGCATGCGTCACACCCACCCAGCACAACGTTTCATGGCCTCATAGGGGGCTCCACCGAAGGCCCCCGCCGAAGGCCCCAGTGGCGGCCGCGCCCCATTGCGGCACACCCTTCGCACTTTTCGCGGCCCAGTAGTGCGTTCCGCCTAAATCAAGCGCCAGTGGCAGCGCCCACATGGCGGCCCCGCCCCACATCGGCACACCCTTCGCATGCTTGATGGCCCCAATGAGGAGAGCCCCAGAGGGCGATGCCCACAACGATGGTTCTCACAACTGCATATGGTTGGGTCCTTCGCCGAGGTCATGTTTGGAGTCGCTTGGGAGTTTTGGAGAACCGGGAGGGGGGGGGACTGGAGACGTCTTAGGACATGTTGGCGCGCCTTGGTCTCTCTGGTCCCTCTTAGGCCGTCTTGAGCTGTCTGGGAATCTTACGAGGCGTTCTGAGGCTGTTTTGGGGGCCTTCTTCGGGCGTGCTGGGGGCACCTTGGCCCTTTTGAAGCACAGCCGACCCCATCTGAGTGTTAGCAGTGTTAGCAACAGGTAACCAACACATCTGTTCTTTAACATCGACTCTCGGTGTCTATGGCTCTGTTGGAATCTCGTGGATCGTACCTTGGGGTATCTTGTGCTGTTCCGTGGCCGTCCTGGAACCATCTTGGAGCGTCTCGGGCCACTCTGGGCCGTCTCTGCCACCTCCGGGTGCCCTCCCGAGCCATCCTGGAAGCCTCTGGGCTCCGAAGGGCTCCTCGAAGGGCCCCAAAACACCGCTCCTGGACCCCCGAGCGAGAGAGGGTACGGCGGAAGGGCGGGGGGAATGGTGTCGCCCCTGGGCCCGGTGGCCTGGTCGCCTCGCATATGACAAGTTACTAGCTGGAGGCCCTTGCGATAGCTACGGTGAGAACCTTGGATCAACAATCGTTAGATCAGGAGTCCAGGGTCTGGAGGCCAGTGGAACACAAATTGAAGCTGGCCGTGGATACCACCGCCGCCCTCGTCAGAGAAAGGATCCTCCAGGGCCTGAAGCCTCCTGGGCACATTCCTCCACTCACGCCTCCCCATCGTGTTGCATTTGTCAGGCGGGGGGCATTGCAGGTCTTGCAGGCGCCACTTGGGCGCCCTTGGCGACCAAGTGGCCGTCGATCGACTTCCTGCATGCGCGCCACCCGAGAGAAACGATTTCCTCCTCTGCCTCTGCTTTTCCATTCGCCTCCTCCTTGACGTGAGCCACGAGGCACGATGGCGCTGAAAAGGGGTCCGCACAACCATTTCTTGTCAAGCAGCTCCAACGGACCTAGGGCAGCGAATCTGGGCAGCTCGATTAGAAGAAGAATGAACGTCAAATATATAAACTTTTTGGTGCTCCGCGCGGATTTCTTGGATCTGCGCTGGGCCCCCCTCCCTGGCGCGCGGTGGCGCGCGGAGCGCGCCAAGGGCGGCGCCGGAGGCGCCGCCGGGGGGCCCAGCGCGGATCCAAGAACTCCGCGCGGAGCGCTCAAAGCTGATGTTTATGGCGTTTTTCCTTCTTCGATCGATAGCTAATCCAACAGCGCCAGAACAACAACCCTTGGGTATGAAGAGCCAGGACAATACGGGACGCTTGCCTCCGGGTGGGCCTCGACTCTGCACGATCTGCGCCGTGCTCCAGAATGATCTCTTCTCGTCTGGGCTTTTGACCTGTCGGACTTCTGGCAGATCTCAGCCACCCAGGAATATAATAATAAGAATAAGAAACAACGGCACAAACATAAACTTTTGGCGCTCCGCGCGGATTTCTTGGATCCGCGCTGGCCCCCCCTCCCTGGCGCGCGGAGCGCCCCAGGGGCGGCGCCAGAGGCGCCGCCAGGGGAGCCCAGCGCAGATCCAAGGAATCCGCGCGGAGCGCCCAATGTTTCTGTCTATAACGTTTTTGCTTCGATGCTGGCAGGTCTCAGCCCACCCAGGACTCCAGCTTCCTGGGTGCCCTGGCCCCTCGGGGTGCGCCCGCCGACGGCGGCGCCAGCGCCAGGCCGCCAGGCCTCTCTGGGATGAGGTCAGGCATGTCCTCCTACAGGCGGGTTTTGAAGGAACGTGGACAATAATCAAACATAATCAAACATGGGCAGCAACATAGCAGAAAAATCGATCCCATTCTTGACTGCTCCTCCTGTGGAGGGACATGCCCGCCTTACGTCTGGGAGCTCCTCCGCCCGAGCCCGCCCGCGGCCGATCTTGTGCGGCCACCTGGGGCTCCTGGCTGCTTTCTGCCGACCTGCTGCCTCGCCACCCCGGGAGCGGTCAGCACCGACGTGGTACAGCCGGCCCGTACCACGAGGATGCGCGATGATGATGCAGGGGCCTTGGAGGGCCACTCCGAAGCTTTCCGAGCGGGGCTCGGCCAACGAGAGAACGAGAGTGGCCAACCGAGAAGGCAAGGATGCAGGGGCCCCCTTGGGAAGGTTGCCCATCCTTACCATGCGGGTTGACTGTGAATCGGGTCGGGTCGGAACGTGCCTCGAGTCGGGCCGCATCGGCACGGAATCGGGAACGAATCGAAGCGGCTGCGGCAAAGTCAAACAGCGCCGCGCAAACATCGGGCCGCAACGGACCGCCGGAATATCAGAACCCGATCGAGCCGACCGGCATCCGACATCGAATCGGATCGATCGGGCAATACTGGACCCAACCATCCCAGAATATCTCTTTCACCCGGGGGCCCTCGGGAACCTTTCCGGACCACGCGCAGGCGGAGTTGGTTCTGGGGGGGGGGTGGGGCCTCCACCGCCTGCCCTCATTGGGCCCCAATCTGCCCGGCTGTGAACACCTCTCTCTTCACCGCCCACGTCCTGACTAAAGCTAGCAGGTCAGGCAATCCAGCGCCCCCTGCCCGTTCCCTTCGGGGACATGGCCAGAAGCGTTGGCACTCCACTTCTGATCCCCACGCGCGCCCAGCCGCTTGCAAGAAGGGCTAGAGGCCTCCTAGATGGGCTCGGAGTAGATGGGGTCGGAGGGTCGCGCCGCATCGCCGATGCATCGGCGATGCATCGTCGACGTCGGCGATGCATCGGCGACGTCGACGTGAAGCAAAGCCACACCGAGCCGCATCGGCGATGCATCGGCGATGTGGCGCGATCCTCCGACCCCGTCTGCTCGGACCCCATCTAGGAGGCCCAGACTGAAGGTGCCGATACCGCTACCCCGCGGACCTCTCCCGGGGTGCGTTCTGACGAAGATTTCGAGGCGACTCTGGCGGTAGCGACGAGGGCCTCCCCGGGCCCAACAACAAGGAAAACGAAAGACGGGTAGAGGTATGGATACCTTTGTCTCCTCCGACCCCATCTATGAGGCCTAGGGAATCACTCCGCGGCGCTTGGGTCCAGCGGCGCGCAGCCGGGCGCGAGGGAGAAGCGCTCAACCCTGGCCACAGGGGCGGCGGCAGACCGTGGAGGGGAGTGGACGGACAGGGGGAGAGCAAGGGTCCCCCTCCCCCTCCTCCCCCCCCTCCTCCCCCCTCCCCTCCCCCCCCCCTCCCCCTCCCCCTCCCCCTCCCCCCCTCCCCCTCCCCCTTCCCCTCCCCCTTCCCCCCCCCCCCCCTCCCTCCCCCTCCCCATCCCTTTCCCCCTCTCTTCCCCCTCCCCCTCCTTTCCCCCTCCCCCTCCCCCTCCTCTTTCCCTCCCCCTCCCCCGTCCCCTCCCCCTTTCCCTCCTCCTCCTCCTCCTCCTCCCTCCTCCTCCTCCTGGATCTCCTCTTCTCCTGGTCCTCCTGGTCCTCCTCCTCCTCCTGGTCCTCCTCCTGGTCCCCTCCTCCTCCTCCTCCTCCTCCTCCTCCTCCTCCTCCTCCTCCTCCTCCTCCTCCTCCTCCTCCTCCTCCTCCTCCTCCTCTCCTCCCTCCTCCTCCTCCTCCCTCCTCCCCTCCTCCTCCTCCTCCTCCTCCTCCTCCTCCCCCTCCTCCGCCTCCTCCTCCTCCGCCTCCCTCTTCCTCCTCCTCCTCCCTCCTCCTCCTCCTCCTCCTCCTCCTCCTCCTCCCCCTCCGCCTCCGCCTCCTCTCTCTCCTCCTCCTCCTCCTCCTCCTCCTCCTCCTCCTCCTCCTCCCCTCCCCCTCCCCCTCCCCCTCTCTCCTCCTCCTCCTCCTCCTCCTCTTCTTCTTCTTCTTCTTCCTCCTCCTCTTCCTCCTCCTCCTCCTCCTCCTTCCTCCTCCTCCTCCTCCTCCTCCTCCTCCTCTCCTCCTCCTCCTCCTCCCCCCCTCCTCTTCCTCTTCCTCCTCCTCCCCCCCATCATCATCATCCTCCTCCTCCGACCTCGGACAGGCCCCTTCCCCCCGATGCCGGGGGGAAACATCGAGCAGGACTCGGCGATACATCGCCGAGGAGGACGAGGAGGAGAAGAGGAGAAGGAGGAGGAGGAGGAGGAAAGGAGGAAACGAGGAGGAGGACGACGAGGCCATCCCCCCCTGTGCCTGACGCGGTGGGCCAGAGCGCGCAACGCTCGCGGCAAACGCGGAACAACACACACATCGCATGATTCACGCATGATCCGCTCGCTCCGCGCGCTTGCGAGAAACACCTGGGCCCTCCCCGGACCGCCCCCCTTCCTATCTGTGAGCCCCACCTCCTCGACGCGTGGAGGCGAGCAACGGCATGCTCGCCTGTTCGGCGTCCCTTCCGTTCCAGCTCTGGCTTTGGCCCGCCCCGGCCTGACGTTGTCTTGGATCCACCGCTTGCCCAAGGTGCCCGCCACCCTCTGCGCGTGGGCCACGTGCGCCTGCAGCAACTGCTGCCATCGATCAGCACTGTGCTCCGAGCCCCTGCAGTCGAAGTGGAACACGCGCTCCGCGCCGCCTTCGAACGTATGCGGCGGCGCCCAGAAGCCGTGGCGTGGGTACACCGAGAAGCTCTGGCCGGCATCGTCAAACTCCAGCCTGGCCTCGTGGACGAGCAGGTTGATGCACGAGGCAGAGGGCTCCCCTCTCTCAAAGCTCGCCTTTGTCTTCCACCAGAGCAGGTGCATGCGGGTCAGCACGAAGAAGCGGCGGTGCGACCTGCAGTTGAAGGCATCCGAACACCAACGCGACACACCAAAGGTTCGACCAACGCTGAGACCAACGCCGTGATCACACCAAAAGGATACAACAATTAGAAAAGAAAGGATCCTGGCCCCCCAAGAACTCAAAGAACTTCCGAAGACTTAGCAATGACCAATGTGTACACTTTCGGAGGTCCGCGCAAAGTTCCCCCGAGAAGTCCGTGCGGCCCCGAGGAGACCAATGCTCGTGTTGGCCTCTCTACTTCGGCTGCCGCCACCGCCCGGGTGCCTTGTGAGGCCTCGCTCCGTGCCGTTGCAGGCGATCCCGCCTGAAGGGGAGGGGTGCCGTGACGGGGCCAATGAGGATGGGGCGGTCCATGCATGGTCTTGGGGCTTAGGCAGAAGGTTTCTACAAACGCGCACACACACAAACACACACAACACACACAACACACACACAACACAACACACACAACACGCAACACACAACACACACAGCACGCAACAAACAACACACAAAACACAAGACAAACACAACGCACAACACGCACACGCACACGCACACGCACACGCACACGCACACGCACACGCACACGCAAACGCACACACACACACACACGCACACGCTCACGCACACGCACACGCACACACAGACACACACACACACACTCACACACAGACACACTCACACACAGACACACTCACACACACCACACACACATATACACACACCACACACACTTTTGCGTCGACGGCTGGACAGAGGGTGGCTGCTCCGGCGATCGGCACACACAGACACGCACACACGCACACACGCGCATACGCACATACGCACAGACGCACAGACGCACAGACGCACACACGCACAGACGCACACACGCACACACGCACACATGCACACACGCACACATGCACACGCACACGTACACGCACACGCACACGCACACACACACACGCACACACAAACCCGCACACACACGCACACACAGACTCACACACAGACACACGCACACACTCCCACACACACACACACTCACACACACACACACTCACACACGAACACACACAAACCCACACACACACGCGCATACACACACGCACACGCACACGCACACGCACACCCACCCGCACCCACATACAGGCACTAAGACACACACACACACAAACACACAGACACACAGGCACACTGACACACAGACACAAACACACAGACACGCAGACACACAGACACAAAGACACACAAGCACACAGACAGGCAGGTACACAGACACATAGACACACAGACACACAGACACAAACACACAGACACGCAGACACACAGACACAAAGACACACACAGACACACAGACACACACGAACACATGGACACACAGGCACACAGACAGACACACAGACAGACACACAGACAGACACACAGACAGACACACACACACACAGACAGACAGACAGACAGACACACCGACAAACAGACACACACAGACAGACACACAGACACAGACACCCGCACACACAGACACACACAGACATACACACAGGCACACACAAGCACACACACACACTCACTCACTCACTCATTCACACACACACACACACTCCCGTCCTTCCCGGCCACGCCATCCTGCGCGCTAGTAAAGAGTATACGCCCTTCTGGCTGAGGCCAGACGGGCCTATTCACCACCCTGGGGCCGGGGATGCCCTTGCCAGGGGCGGTGGTGTATACATAGAAGCCCTCTGCGGTGGCGTTCTTCCTCGAGGGGGGGTCCCTGACCAACCCTGGGGAACTCTTACACGAGATATGGAGGCCCCAACCCACACACCCGGCTCTGTGAGGCTTCCAGCTGGGCAGAACATGTGGGCCCAACTGCTGGATGCACGATGGGGGGCGTGCGTCCTCGGTATGGGGTGCATCCGAATTCACCCCTGGGCTGAATCTGAGTTCCCTCTTCTTTCTGAGGCACCAGTTTTTCTGGGGGGGGGGGCTCGGGGAAATGGGGGGGACACCGCCCGCTGCGAAACTCCCCTCCTCTTGGCGTGAAGCGAAAGGGTCCTGGACCCAGGGGCCCGTTCGCTTCACGGGAGGAAGTGGAGAACCCTCCCCTCAGGACCCGTTCCCCTCAGGACCCGTTTGCTCCATGTGAGGAGGCGGAGGAGGTGGAGGAGGAGGAGGAGGAGGAGGAGGAGGAGGAGGAGGAGGAGGAGAAGTAGGCTGAGGGCTGAAGGCATGAAAGGTCAGATGCCAGGCTGCGCCGTACAGAGTGGGCCTCCGCTCCGCGGGGCCGGAATAACCAAATGGGCCCACATGGCCCAGCCGCAGGCCGTCGCGCCGCCAGAGGCGCCGCAGCTCTACCCGCCGGCCCGACTCGGTCCGAGGGTAGAACCCCAGTCTTGCAAGCTGGGACCCACCGTGGCGACGCCGCAGCACCCAGCCGAAGGAACGCCAAAACAGCAGACCGCGGCCCCGCGCCGGCCGCTCACCTTGGCGAGGCTTGTTGCCTCGCCACCTCTTCTTGCGCCTCGCGGCGCTCCCAAGCGATCGCTGCGGGCGGGTCTA